TTGCCACTTTGATGTGTCCATTAGAAGTGATTAGAAGTTGAAAAATACGTTTCCTCTGCGGAGATTCGTCGTCCACCAGCATTATTTATGAAGCTGTAAAACACTATTCCTTAATTTTGCTTATTCATTATTTGTTGGCAGATTTAAAATGGACCACAATGACGCTGCAAGTTAAAAAGTGCAGCGACATAAGTGACCTAGTCATTCCTTCAAACAAACATAATTGGCTTGAAAATAGCAACACATTTATTATAGTTTCTGTATAGGTTCTTGAAGTTGTTGTTGTGGAACCTTTTGGCACTTGAGGTGGTCATATTTGTTGAAATAAAATCCGGCTTCCTCGGTGGAGGTGAGCAACTTTATTTTTTCTACATGGTACAGAAAATCCCTGCTCAAATAAATATAAAAATTTATAAAATTTTCGAATAATTTATACAATTATATAATTAATGTGTTGTAAAACTACACGTTTATGTTATATAAATTAATATTACGTGAAAAATATCAGAAAAAAATAAAAATTGTTAAAAAACTAAATTTTTTTTCAAATTTTATTGTTTAAAATATATTTTCATATAAAAATATTGAATGTTATACTTGTCACATTATTATTTAAAAATATTGTTTTTTACTAAATATTTATATATGTACAAAGAAAATATATTTACTAAGTATAAATTTTAGTTTTGGAATTGATTCAAATAAACTTTAAAATATTGACTCTTTTTGGCATATATATTATAATTTTCAATCTGTGCAATGCAGTTTATTAAAAATTACAACCATTAACTCTTTTATTTAAACTTACCTACTCATTGCAATCAAATATTAAATTTAATTTAACTCCCATAAAATTCTTAGCATGCCTTGATTGTTTATCCTTTTTATAAAAAATTAACCTTATTTACATCTTCCTCTGCGACAACAACCTTGCAATTTTATAGCGGCCCATTATAAATTGTCGCAGCTGCAAAATAAAGTTTTGTAAGAATCCTGTTGTGCCCACCGAGCCGTATCGGTTCCAGACTTTTCAAGCCGACAAAAAACAATATTTATCCTTCAACTTTTGCATCCTTCCCGCACTAATCTGTTTACCGCTCACGTGTATAACAGAATCAACTCTCGGTAAAGAAAAAAAATTAATTCAAATAAAAAGAACTAGTAAACAAAACACTCGGACACGCCCTGTGCCCCGACTGATGAGTAAAGAAATAAAATAACAAGGTACGAGTGAAAGTGGAGGATCTCGCGTGCAACTTTATGTATAGACCGCACTTTGTAAAAGTGAATCTGGTCATGATGTGCTATTTGTGTAACGCATTATTATTGTGTAGAGGAAAACCGCCGCGCCTCCGCGACCTTGACACCTACTCTCTCTCCCTCTACCTTGGATTAAAAATAAAAAGGCACTCTTTTGAGAATATAATTTACTTCCACCGATTCGCGCTTCAGATTGTAGACCGCGTGATTAATAGTTTCCCTGTTAAATGAAAAAGTATAATTTTGGCGGAGGCTGCGTGCCGAAATTATGAGCGACAGATTCGTGATCATCCATCATATTTTTACGCCATTGTTCCTCATCATTGTATTCAAATGTAGGTGATTTCGCACTGTTATGCAGCGAGGCAAGTACGAGAATACCCAATTTGATGGTGTATTCACGGCCCAGGGTCTTCCTGGAAGTAAAATTTAGATATACCAATTTATTTCAGCTAGCGTGATTTTTATAGAATATGAAATTGGTTAAAATGAATAAAACATGAGGCCCTCGTCTTAGAAAACGTTTCTTTTAAAAATAAGCCGGTACTATAATTTTTGGTCACAATTTGCAGCACTTTTTTAGCGAGTGAGAGAAAATAAAACGGATCAAATTAGTTATAAATTGAAAACGCCATTTTTACTTAAAAAATATTTATGATGTTAAAGTCAAATGAACAAAAATGTTTCCTTTTTCAGATGAAATAACAAATTAACAAAAAAAAAATACTTTAAGTGCAAATTTTGTGAGTAAAAAAATAATACAAAATTGAAAATTATTATTAATTAAAGCAGAAATGGCCCATTATTATGATAAGTTTTTTTTATCATAACTTAAGTTTTGAATAAATTAAACTTTATAACAGTTCTACATTTTTATTTGGTATGCATAATTTTATTTTTGCTATTTTTCTTGTTATATATTTTAATTTGTTATTTTATCAGAGAAAAAAATTTAAATTATACAATGTCAATTTGAGCTAGGTGAATATTTTTCCTCACGACATATTATCTGAATGGAGTGAACACCATAACAATTGCAGAAACCGCAGCCCAAAATAAACGCAGCAGTCCGGGAATCCAATGCAATAATGCTTAACTATATAATTCCGTTTGAGCCCAGAGTGTGCATTCCTCGCTCCAGCAATTCTGACAAAACCCAAAACAATTTTATTTAATTTCAATCTGCAAATAACTCTCCGCATTCCACGCTCTTTTTTATGAAAATATATTTATAAATGGAAGATTAAAAAACGAAATTATTGAAAATGTATCAATTTACGTTTAGCTTAAACAGATTTAAAAATAAATTCCAGAAGATTCCATTTGGAGACTTTTATGCGCTGTGGTAGATTTGACCTTGTTCTGAAATACTTGACCTCAAAGCTTCCAAATTATTACCGTGACAGATTTCCTTACAATTAAAAAATAAAGCTATATTGCAGTTGTGCTGCAATGTTTTTCTACAATTAAAAATACTTCAATTTTTAAGCTTCAGAAATGATCATGCCTGATTATTTTCTATCGTTCTGTTTGATTAAATTTATTATAGACAAAAAACGTTGAATTTTTAATGATTTTTGTGATGCTAGATTTGGCCTTACGATGTGACGCTCGACAATTAGGGAATCCCCGAACGTGAGCGGCTCCAGCGATAATAAAATAAAAGCCCTCAACTCTCAACCAGTTCGTGATTTCCTTCTGCGTTGGCCGCTGTACCTGCCTTTTCTCGCGACGCTATTTCCATGGAGCGCCTTGAGCAAAATTTCGACGCATAAAAACTCACGCAAAAACAAAAAATCGGACCGGAATGAAACTCATCCTGGATTCCAACGGAACATCTCATTATATGCGGCAGGAGAAAAACAAAAATTTATGCCGAAAAAGCAGATAAAAAATGTTTTTAGGAGCAAAAAAAGCAAAAAGAAAAATCCGCAGCTTTTTTTTCGTAACATGCTCGTTGCCGCAGCCAGAACAAGAGAGAGGAAATTTCGTTAGCGTCCGTATGTGGCGTCGTTACGGGAGTTTATTTAAGGATTTTCGCCGGATAATATACGAGTCTCGCCCAGCAACGGGATGTACAAAGAATGGAGAGTAAGCGAGAGGGAAAGGGATGAGCTTTTGCCCGGAAAATCGCCGACAAACACGAGAAAACTTTACTCCGTTTTCGCTCCTAATATAAAAATATGTGTGGGGGATTTAATGAAAAAAAAATAAATAAATAAATAAATAAAAAATTAAATTATTAGTTCGTTGAGCGTGCTTCTTTACCATGATCTTGAAAGTTTGGAAACAGCTAATAGTAATTAATGACAAATAATAGTGCTTGATTTAAGTACACAACCAAACGCGGCACACAAATATTTACTGGTAAACTTTGTTTCCGTACGTTCAAACAAAACGTGCTGACAAGTAGAAAATTAATTCATGAGTTACTATCAGAGCCAACAGAGAATTTTCTATTATTTACTTTGTTAAGAATATTATTTGATTTGCTCGCTGTTTGCTCGTACAGAAACTTTTTAAGCTCAATTAAGTTTTAGTGGCAAAATTATTTAAAAACATCAAGTCTTATTTAGAGATTGATTCATTTTTCATGAAATTAAAATTCTATTAAAATTAAAAAAGCATTTGTTGAATCACAAAATACACTCAAATTAGGCCACTATAGAAAATTTATTATTCCACAAGAAGTTTGTGAATCAATTTCATATACCTCTAAAAATGTTTAAAATTAGCTGCCGCATTATTTATTTTGGTGAAAATATCGGGCACTTTCCCCAGAGAACATTGATTCTCTGACTATTTAAAGTCTCAATTATCGGACCAGCACTATACTTGCCACTAATTAGCATTGGTACGCGAGGAAACACTGAAGGTGCGCCAAAGGTCAAAGCAATTACATCCGCACGTGTGTATTGAGAGAGATCATCAAGCGATTAAATAAAATTGAACATTATATCATCTTGTTTTAGTTCAAGGGTCGCATTGGCTGTTGAACTCTCGGAGGGTAAGTGTTGCCATTAAGGATGCTATTGCAATACGGCGAGCGGCGAGATTTTGAATCTAATTTGTATTAAATTTTCAAGCACACGTTACTAAAATAATATTTCGCAGACTATTTAAAATATTTTGCATATAAATTGGGATTCAGACTGATCAGATAATTAAAGTTTGATCACTTATTAAGTAGTCTTTAAAAAAAAAACACTTCATTCACCGGTTCAAATCTGGAAAATATGAGCAAAATAAACAATAATATAATGAATTATTTAATGTAACAAATAATAATTACTAAAGAATTGCGAGATACTTGTCTACACTTATGTAATGATTGATTCATTTTTTTAATTACACTTATAATTGGAAAATGTTGTCCCTGTTTATCTCCAGTCGTGCGTAAGTGACCGCAGATCACGTGTGTGCGGCGTCAGCCACCTTGACTTTGAGACAAAGTCGAGGCTTGTTCGCCGACCGGCTTCGCTTGCCTATATCGATTCTCCTCTCTGGCGTTTTAAATTTTTTTTAAATCTCGCTTATTTTCCTTGTTTCGCGTCCAAGGCAATGACGCAGGTAAGAAGAGGTACAATTGCAGGCAGAAGCAAACGGACCCCGTCGGACCGGTTTTGGGTCGATCTCGACTATCTCGAGGGCCGAACGTGAAGGCGACTCGGACAGGCGTACCCCTTATTTCGTGACGTTCGCTGGAGCTCGAAATTTCCACGACTTGTTGCTTCGAGCCGATCCTACCCTCGCGTTGTGGAAAGTGCGACGAGTGCGATTGTACACCGGACTTCTTATATAAAGCGGTCGCCAGTTCTCCGGAGCTCAATTCCAACTCCAAACTCGTACTGAGACTTTGATTTATTCCAACCACCTGCAATCATCATGACCAAACTTTGGGTAAGAACATATTTCGCATATTTTTTCCCTGCTCTATTTATAACTGACTTTTAATTATAAAAAAAAAAAATTAACTTCACCGCCTTTGAAGTTATTTCCCTGCAAATATCTTGCCGAGATTTTGTATTTATTTTCTCCCCCTTGGCAATTTTTCACCTTTTTCGTCCCGTGAGTCCAAACTTTTTAATTACATTCTCGATTGAGTGGAGCACCTCAAGGGACAAACGGATTTATTACTTTTTTTTTTATCTCTATACTGCCTTTTAAATAACTGGCAAAAACGCTGCTTTCCTTTCTTTGAAGAGGTCGCGAGAGCTCTCAAAGCGAATTGTATAACACAATTTCGAATTTGAATGCAATTTAATTTGACGCCTAATTGATGAAATTTAAAAGTACTTAGTTTTGTTCATTCATTCAATTCTCTTGAAGCTGCAGCAAAAAATATTGAGTTTTCTCCATCACGTTGCAAATTATTCCGTCAAAAGAAAAAGTCCTTTACATTCAAACAAGAGGATTATTCTACCAATTCATAATTAATTACATGGAATATAATTACATCGCAAAAACTCTAAGTCTCTATAAAACACCTTTCAAAATTTTTCAAACAAAATTATTTGAATCGTTATATAAGCGTAAATGACTCAATGGAGACAAATTGCCTTCCGCTTGCTATCATGAATATTTATAAATATACCAGAAAAATAAAAATTTCTCTTTTTACTGATAAAGAGTGCGTTAGTTCAATTATTATAAAAAGCAATTTTTAAGTATTATATAAAAACAATATTTTTTATTTAACATCTTTAAATAATTTTCTTTAATATATAATCATTTTCTCTATTATTATTTTATTTAAACAATAATTTTCAGTTTTTTTTAATTAAAATTATAATATTGTTTTGATAACTATTAGCTCATTATTAGTTTTAATACGCCTTTAATTTTATGAACATGCAACTCAACCTTGCCAGATGAATATGCACAGGATTAAAAAATTACTCCTTTTTGAAGTTTTAAGTGCTCAGATTGACGTAAGACTATAATTCTATATTAACATTTATGATGGTTGTAATTATTGAAAACTAAATGAAATTAAGAGGCTGTTTATTTTATAGAAAGGAATCCAAAAAGCATTTTCTGAATAAGTAATCAAAAAATCAATTAAGTTGGATTCCCAAATTAAAAAAAAAAAAAAAAAAAAACGTCTTTCTATATAAAAGAAACAAAATTAAACTCATACAATGCTGAGTTGCTTGAAATATTATAAATATAGAAAAAAGCTATAAAAATCCCTGCGGCGCTGCCCGGCCACTGCTGCCGGTCTTACTTTTATTTTTTGCAATCTTGATTGATGATGTCGTGAACGATTTTCGTTTCATATTTTTCGTGTTGTGTGTTTCTGATAGGTGAGTCTGCTGCTGGCAGCTGTGATGATGGTCGTCTACGTGCAAGCGGTCGAGCCGGTCGCTGCTGAAACTCTGGAAACGGCCGAGACCGCCCACCGTGGAGGCGGCTATGGAGGCTACGGCGGTTACGGAGGCGGCTATGGAGGCTACGGTGGTGGCCACAGAGGAGGATACGGAGGATATGGAGGCCACGGCGGCTACGGTGGCCACCGCGGCGGCCACAGGGGAGGACACTTTGGCTAAAAAAATTCTTAATTGACTCCTTTTTCGTTTCAAAAAACGGCCTGAATATTGATAACACATTTTAAAGAGCAATTTGTATAACTCATATTTTGATATTTCGATTTCGCCAGAAAAAATTCATATTGTCAAAATTTCTTTGATAGCAGTAAAGGAGTTCTTAAGAAAAAAATGCACTTTTAAAAATACAAATGTAAGAAAGTCTGAAAATAACTGGAAGAAAAGTTGCGAGAGCAAACAAACTTATTGCAACTACGAGTACGGAGAAGCATAAAATTGACGATCTTATTTAGTGTAAATATTTCACGACAAAGTGAGCAGAGAAAAGTTTGTGCAGCAAAAAATTTATTACTTGTGTACAAGAATTTTATTTTTATATATGCACTATTTAATAAAGTGTGCCGAGAGGCACTTCTTAAATAAAAATATGTATAATTTGTTTCTTTAACTGAACATTTCACCTCGAGGGGCACTAATTGCCAGTGTTGAACAAGTCCTTTTGAAATTATATCTAACCGGGCAGAAAAGAATAGCCGTTGAGAGTCGGAGGAACTTGTATGAAGCTAATTAAGAATTGCGCTTTTGCATCTCTAGATCCTTTAGTAAAAGTCACTTTGGCTTCGTGGCGTCGCTGTAAAAATTTATTTGATTTTCCGCATCTTGCACTTTGGTAGAAGTTAATAAAATGAATCCTTATTGAGGCCGCATCAAATTTTCTGATCAAAATTTGGAAAAAATTGTCATTTTTTTCAATGAGAGAGAGAGATTGAGCAAAAAGAATGAAATGATATTGAATTTCCCAGGACTTTCTATGGTTGCCTTGAATTTTAAAGTAGAACTGTGATAAGAATCTTTTTGAATATCAGGGCCATACCATTATTTTATATTTTATGCCCCTTTAATTTTTCTTCAAATTTATTTCATATTGTTTTTCAGCTTATATTTACTTTTTTCGTTCAGATAATAAATTTATTAATTCTGATTCTATATCAAAGATATCCAAAACTAAATATTTCATGTTCTTCAGTCAATAAATTAATTTTAATTGATCGTCATTAGCATTACGTGAGTTATATATATTTTTCTTTTAATTTTAAACTGCAAAAGGCTCAAAATATAGTATTTTTATTTTTGACTAAATTCAAAAGCAAAAAGGTTAAAAAAAGAATTATAAAGAAGGATAATCTTTGTTTCTTGATTAAGAATTAAAATCGAAAATTAAAAGTATGTTAAACATTAAGCGCGATTGCATTTCCATGGCAAACCTCTGAAATATAACACGTCCAAGAAGTTGTAGTTATTCCAAGGTCAGAATTCAGAAAGTCCTGTTGCTTTAACAAGGTACGGCGACCAGTTCCATCTTTGGGTACCCTTTATAGTGTGGCCGAAGTAAAAGATTTAAAAATTAAAAAGTCAACACTCGAGCTGGACTTTTACAAACATAAAAATTGAAATCTCTTTGGAAATATCAATTATGACAACTGACCCCAAAGCAGGCCGCTTTTTGGCGTCAGTTTTCATTAAAAGCTTATTTTTAATTTTTTTTTTTTCAACAAGAATCTGTTTAAAGTTTTCAAAAATTACTTTTTTTCAAGAGATATTTATATTTTAAAATTAAAATTAAAGCTATATAAGACGTCCCTCTATTTGCGAAATCATTTTTTACCTTTAAATGATGTTGGAACCGCTTACAGTTTTCAATTTTGTGTAGTTAATCATTTGATAGAGCACGTTGTACACCACAATATTCGTCTCACAATCGCCTCTTGAACGAATCCGTTTACCTTGTTTATAGCTTATGAGAAAAAAGAAGTTCTTAATTTAAATGCCAGTTTACTTAACTCTTCATTAGTTAAAAAAGTAAATAAATGAAAAAAGAATATGTCCTGGCTCAAAATTTACGAGTTTTCATTTTCTTGAATAAAAATGCTAATTGATGTTTGAGAAATTATATTTTTACTGTCCAGAATATTTAAAGATTTTTTAAACATTAATTATTTTATAATATTACAATATTAGCTGTTTAGGAATATTTTTAAATATTTTAATTAAAAATGTGTGACGCTTGAAACTTTTAACTTTTTTTAATGAAAATGACTGTTTCTCCTGTGTTCTATATAAAAATTCTTTTAATATAAAATTAATTTTTAGAAATTAAATTTCTTTTTTTCCATCATGTCATGACAAATTCCTTTTTACACTTTATTTTGACATGCATGCAATTATGCACAAAGTCGATGGGTTTTCTTTTCAGTAGAACGTCAAGTGTCAAGTCACTTGCCATACAAAGTAACAACCGCGCTGCATTAAACTATCAAAGCGCCTGCAGGGTATGCAGCAAAGTGCTACACGACATTCTCTTTCTCTCTGTCTTTATTTTCATAATGAGTCGATGTCTGTGCTTCTTCTTCTCCTCATAAGCGTCAAATTCAGTGGTGGTTTATTATGATTGTGCGGAGCTGGTCCATTTATCTCCGCAGCACCTTCTTCTCCTCGCCTCTCTCATGGAGTGATTAATGAATGGTCCCAGTTTAGACAAACATGCTCTAATCTGACACCGGCTCCTCTTTCTCTTGCAGTTAAACGAGGCTTCATTTCATAATAAATAAACCCTCTCGTCGTCTACAAAACAAAGGCCAAGTTCTGAATACTCTCGGAAAACACAATTATACTGCACAATAGCTCAGAAAATGGATTCGAGTGTGGCAGATAATTGCTGATTATCCAACGCGGGCACGTTTGATGGAGTTGTTAAAACCTATCAAGACAATAAAACTGGAAGGAGCTGCAAAAGGATAACGAGAGTTCAAAGAGTATTGTTACATTATGAAACAATTCGAAGTTAATAATGAATGCTGGCAACAATGAGTAGAAAAGCAAACTCTGTTTTTTGGGGTCTTCAGATTTAAATTTTTTCCAAATTAAACAAAATCAGATTCGTTCCTGTTTTTAAAAAAAAATCAATGATTTATTTCTGATATGATATTTCTTTTCTCAAAAATTAACTTCAAAGGGATTTTTAAATTTTAACGCCTGAAAATTGTGAAAAATGTTTTATATAAAATTATATAATATGCACTTTTTTGTCCTCGTAAGTATGCTTGTTACATAGAAGTCATCCGAACAAATCTATATTTTTCTCTAAGTGTAATAATAATGCTATGAAAAAAAGAGTCGGAAAATTTGTGCTTGAAAACAAAAAGAAATTCTAGTTTTTACCAAGGATGTAAAAATAGCCAAAAATTTTAATTTCTTTTGAAGAAAAAATTATTTTGGTTTGGCTAATTGGCATTTCCCTGCTCGAATAAAATGTGCCAAAAGCACAATGCCTGTAAACACACTGTGATTAATTGATTTACATTTTATTTTCTATCTGATACAATATGAACATCAATGGGGAATCTCTTTTATGCTCCCGTTTCTTGAATAAGGATTGGATCTTTACAACATGAATAATGTTCTTGGTTGACACACTAATAAATTTTCATCTAGGGCTTAATGATATATGGTCAAAGAAATGCGCAAATGAAGTGTGTATGTAAATTCAGCTGGTAAAAAACTGTGTGAACTCCTGCTGGTGATCTGATCAGGTAGTTGTTGAGAGCTCAATCATAGTCGCCATTTCCCTCCTCTTGACTGTTGTTTTACTCATCATGGATGCATCTGACTGGGGGCAAAACCCTATTTGCCTTTGCCAATGGGGCTTGGTACCACAAACACAGAGGGGAATTTTCCAAGCCCATTTATGCTCTCACCATGCCACCAGAAAGGATCGGAAGCATCAAAGACAAAAACTGCGATCGGGAAAAAAAATTGTACAAAAGCGATAATTTCAAACAATTACTTTCTTACCTATGTCACCCACATTGAGTGGTAAATGCTCCGCTTGTCCACCCTTAAAGTTCATTAAGACCTCTACTTTGAAATAAGTGTTTTTGGGGACTTTGTAAGTAATTATAGCTTGCGATTTCTTCGGTGGAGTTGGTGAAGGTGGAGCAGATATACTTCTAAATGGAGACAGAAAACATAAGTCTTGGATCATAATGACTTAAGGTAAAATTTCTTACTTGACGCTTTCAAAGTCTTTATTTAACGTACTACGCATCCGCAGCAATTCCCTAATTTCTACGGTCTTGACAAACAAATCTCGTCGTATGAATTCAATGTCACTTTCAAGCCTCCTTAATCGAGTCGCCAGTTCTGCTCCATGTAATTCTCTAAATATAAAACAAAATTACCATATTATTTGCAGGGGTCAACCTAGAATAAGTAAAAAAAATCGTGGGTCAACTGTGCTAATTTTTGTGCATATCCTTTAGCATGGGTGTTGGGCTCCGATAAACATATACTATTAATGAAATGATAAAAAATTGGTATGCTTACAGCGTTTCATCATTTTGCAAGTCAGTCTTCTCAGCGAGTCTCTTCACAAAGCCATTGGGGATTCTGCCTGTTTTTCCTTTTTCGTCACAGGCAAATGACCAGATCGTATTGATTTCATGAAGAATCAACACTAAATAAATTATTTTTTTATTACATGAATGCCATTAAATCATTTAGGTATGCTTACAATTATTTCCTTTCTGGAAAGAAAGAGAGTTTGGGTCACTTCCGGCTTGGAATTCGAACAAGGACTCGACCAAATAAGGAGAACTGCAGGCGCTGGTGCTCTCCAAGTCTGAAAAATAAAATTAAAATTATTTAATATTCGCAAATTTTAATACACATGACACAGGCGCATTATATTTTATTAATTAAAATTTTCCCTATTTTGCATTTGCCAAGAATTTTGATACAAAAAACAAAATATTCAGTCATTTGCGTTGTAGAAATTGAATTAAATTAAAACAAGTGGAACCAAAAGCAGAGAAATTGGTGTTGTTTAAGTTAATTCAAAATAATTAATGAATCGTTTAAAAAAATGCCTTGTTTAAATTCTCATCTTTTTTTATTTTTTATAATTATTTTGCAAAAAAATGGAGCAAAATTTTCTTGTATTTTAAAAGAAACTACGTTTTTGCACTCAAATTCTCGTGTGGCAGCAGCAGTTTGAACCACTGCGACAGCGCGGTATTCCTTGACCGCTCTGCGATACTGCAGTTGACCTACAGTCCAATGTGGATAATATAATTTAAATCAAGGAGGCTCTGTGGCTCGTAAATTTACATGGAGGCGAATGTGTGTCCGTCTTGAGAGTGGGGTACATTTGGTCTGGGGTACTATTGGTCGGATACCGCTATAAGGACAGATTGGGGCGGTTTACAAAATAATATTAATATTGGGAAATTGTTGCCCTCAATATTTTTAATTATCACAACAGGAACTTGTTTGCACTGGTTTTGTCCCAGTATCTCGCATCTCGGAACGAAATTCCACATAAAAGGCGATTGGTCAAAAGTTAATAATATAACAAATTAAAAATTAATATAATTTTTTGAAAACACTCAATTTTTGAAGTAAGAGGATTAACATTAAATTGTGTTTTTCTGTTCATCTCCATCTTCTTGTACAATCCGCTAGCAAAACACACATATTGCATCAGACAATCGCTTGTCGAAAAAATGTTTTTATTTAAATATTATTTTCTTATGAACATAAAATATTACATTTTTGCGCTTTTTGTTTCTGTTGGAGCCACAACCCTCGGAAAAAAGTCGAGTATTTTCTCTTATCGGGGGATTCTAAAAAAAAAAAAAAACGCATTATTGCAATGGCGCATACATGAGAAAACATAATAACTTTTGTACACTAGGTTTTGACTAATTTTTAGAACGCACAGATATTATATTGGATTCCAACATTATTTTGCATTTGTTAAAATGGATATTTTAAAATGATATTTTATTTCCATTGTCAAAATTACTCACGGAATCGGATGGAAGTGATAAAAGTGAGAAAAAAATTCCAAGAAAACTATATCGTTTTGAAATTTTCAAATAACACGGCTTTGAACCATCATGCGCTTAATAAAATAAGAACTCCACTAAAAAAAAAGATAATAATTATATATTTTTTTAAATCTTGGAGCCACAAGTTCAAATTTTTTATATTCCTTCATATTTCTAAAATAATGAAACTTTTGTTAAAATAAAGATGACGCTTTTCCGTTTTTATTCGAGTGTACCTCTGTTCTCTGATGCAACCTCCCATCAGAAGAGCATCTCGCGATAGGGTGCGAAACCGGAGATCATGTGTGAGGCCGGAAGTGAAGACGCCAGAGTAAATGATACAAGAAAATTCGGGTAATACCGATATTTTTGCCAGCTTTGTTTGGATTTTGATAAACTATATTAGTTAATTGTTTTCCGTTTTTTATAGAATTCGAATTAGAAATATTTTACGGAAAAATGAATAAACACTCCCCTTCTCAGAAAGAACCATTGTATTTTCAAAATCATAATTTTCTCTTTTTTTTTAATGATTACACGAAATTCTTAAAGAATTTATTCTTAAAGAATTTTGCAAGACATAATGAAAACCAAAGCAGAGGGAGAAATTTTTGAATATTCTGGAGCCACCAACTTTCATTTCCAAATCCAAATAAACGCCAGATCTGAACCTGATGTTTACTATACGCCACAAAATTTGATTATTAATTTGTCCCAATACGCTGCAAAGCGAACAATGACCATGAGTGAATCAAAAACTCAATCACAATCAAGATGCATTCCAAAATTTCCAGTGCAAAAGTAAATCATTCACAAAAAGTAAGTGATTAATTCATATCATAATTGTAGTGAATTCAAAATGTGTTAATGTAAATAAGAAAAATTAATCTTAATTTAATTTCATTTGTTTCATGAATTTTTCAATTTTCTATTGTTTCAATTCCATAAAAATCTCCTTTTGTGCGTCATGAAGGGCGCGCATTTTTGGCACTGGAATTTGACCTCGAGCGTTGACCCTTGGCCTCACTTCTTGTTGCGCAGAAATTCACCTCTGCATTTTCTGCATTCCGGCGTGTTATCAGCAGTCCTTTCGATATCTAACAGCTTGAAAACATTTTTAGAGAGATCGACGTTCTGCTTTCGGCTGACAATGAGAAAAAATGCAGGCAAAGAGATTTTTTGTTCTGCATTTCTGCGAAGATAAAATTTAAAACATGTAAAAAATTGTGCTCGTTTACTGACTCGCTTACAACTTCGACGGTGACCTTAATTTTATGCACAATTTTATCTATATTAATTTATTGAGCAAAAGGAGTGCGCTCTGCACATCCTTGATGAAAACTGGGAAAACTAATTTAAAATATCAATGATGTCCACTTGAATCAATTGATAGCAACGCGGCCCATACAAAAATTTGAATTTTTATAAAAAAAAAAATATATATATACAAATAGATGTACATACCCTGCGCAATCTTCTCTTCCACATCCACAGCTCCAGCGTAGTCCATCTTGGACGTGTTCAGGTGACCAGCCCTTCGGACAACTTCTGGTGTCGGCCTGGCCAAATCGATCGCTTCTTGGTCTGGTCGGTGCTTTCCAGACTTCCAGACGGCACCACTCACAAAATTGTTCCTCCCAAATCCGTTGATCGGGCCTCACAGGAAGAAACACACCGGACACCCTCTTGCCCTTGCACTGCAAAAATGTACTCGACCGTCGTGGGTCACGGGCACGACCTCGGCCAGGACTTGCGACCAACAACAACGACAACTCTGTCCAGTGACTTGTTGCGCTTATGACCCACAATCACAACCAACTCACACCTTGCTGGCCACTTGCATTTTCTCCAGAGAAGACAAAAGAGTTGCGCGCATGCGCCATCTCTACACAGGGTGCAAAGAAAGTTGAATTGTGAATCAAATTTTAAATATTAATTTGCCATAAACAAAAAACTTAACCAGCAAAAACAATGTTTCTTTAGTAACTGATTATTTTAAATCATTTTTACTTATAATTATTATTTTATGTCCGCTACCGAAATTCAGGTTTGTAAAAATAAAAACAACTTGCATATTTTTTTTTTGCAACAATTTCTTGTTTTATTTTATTTAACAAAAAGCCAAGAAAAGTGTTGAATACACCCACTGAAAAAAGGGGTGGAGTGTGTCGAGAGTCGCATCGGCCGTTTCCTACGCAGACCCCTCTCTCAGCGAAACGCGGACACCCTCTTGCAATGGCAGTGTCCGGTCTGCGCGTTTTAATTTTCATGGATTCGTATAAATAAGTTAAGTGTGGTGAGAAAAGACGGGGGGCGTGATTAGGCGACGGCGAATGCGAGCCGCGCGCGGTTGGTTTTTCTTCTTCTCTCTCATGTTATGTTGACATTTTTCAGAAGCAAATATCCGTCTAATAAAAAGCTTTTTTATTATAAGCTACTCAATATGTGTCTATCCTAAAGTTCATATAAATTAGACTACAATCACGATTGGCTCATCTTTTTGACGACAGAAATATTTTTCTTCAGTTTTTTCCATTTTTTATATACCGTTTTTTGCATTTTTTTTTTACACGTTTTCTGCTTTCGGGGAGAGGGCAGTTGTTTATATAAAGAGATGGCACCGCTTACAAAATAAGTCGAGGGTGGTTTGTGATTCATCATCGTCGAAACAATTCAAAAGAAAAATCCAGCAACAAGTTTCAAGTTTTTTTTTGTTTGTTCAATTGATGCGCGTGTTTGTGAATTTCGAAAGGTATACAGACAGAGGATTCTCCGGCGTCGGTTGAGATTATTTGTAATAATTATTTCTTTTTCTGATCAAAAATATGTGTCGGTTGGTTTTCGTCCTATAATTTAATGTTCTTTCGTCCGATGAGAGATGAAATGCATAACAATATGTATAGTAAATAAATTATATACTCGAATCGAGATTTTTACAAACATTTCATAGAAAAAGACAGAGATGTGGATGATATAGAATTATATTCGTCTGTTCTTTTTTGCTCCTATACAAATTGTGTGTGTGAAATGCTGCGTGTGAGTGTGTTAAAAATTCTTTTCACCGTACGAGGTTCGACAGGGAGGAGGTATGTTATGTACATCTCGTTTGCGTGTGTCTGTGTATCTTTAAGTCGATAAGTAATATATTTTTTAATATAATTATAATTAATTATATACTCTTTGGCCAAAAGCAGCGCCGACGGTCCGCCGCCGCGTCCCGGCCGGTTCTGTTTATTTTTCAACAGTGTATATTTTTTTCGCCGTTTTCTTTTTTAAAATGTCAAAAATATTTACTATCTCGTGTGTATTTCGTCGACAAAAGTGTGTGAGTTTTGATCTCCGGCGACGTGTATGCGGGTTGCGGCGGTGCCGGCGCACTGCTTTCAGTGCAGCTGGGGTACGAAAATTGCGATTTTTATACAAATGACGACGAAACTGAATCGAGACACTTTGAACAATGTGAGAGGGGCGTGTGTTCGCGACACAAAACATCATTTTCATATAAATATTTTTTCAGCAAACAATCAATCTGTGGATCAATTTTATTTTTCTCACCGGGTAGTTTTGTTGTTGTTGTTTAATAATTAATTAACAGTATACCTTTTCCTTCAGCTATCATGAGAGAGATTGATTGATCAATAAGATATACAATTCTCTGAACAATTTTTTTTTTTTAATATTTTTTCATTCGTAAACCACAGATTTGGAACCATTTTTCAGAGAGTTATTGGATAATTTTTTCTTTATATCACGGCAAATAATGGTTGTTGGATACTGCACGGTTTCGCGTCTCGAAACAGATTTATTTTTCGTTAAATATTTTGGTATAAACACTTTCTGTATTTTGTTTTGACTTTTGTCCTGCGGGAGTTCTCGAGGAGTGAATACAACACTGCTTTTTTTCTTGTAACACAGAGAGATTAATTAATGTCCTGCTGTCCGATACGAGCAATTATGGGGCCATTGTTCAAACTGCCTTGCTTGCATTTGTGTGAGTGAGTTGCGTGTATAATTAATAATTAAGTCTGCGAGTCTGTCGATATTGATTTATAATAATAAACATCTCAAATTCTCTCACAATAATCTTCATATATGCTCGAGTTTCATCATTTTTTCTTGTAATTTTTTCAATGATATATAATAATCATCACATTACACTGCTGAATTCCTGTCAAAAATTTGCAACACCCGAATTAAACGGTGAGAAACTTTATCCACCATTTAACGCGAGCATAAAACGAGAATTTTGTATTGAACCCCGAAAAACTGTAGCTGTGGATTGTGTGATTGCTTTTTATAATGAATATTTAATTATGCAAATCTTCTCGTTGTCTCGAGCGCGTGCTTCAATTTCTTCTGCGTTTTTTTTTTATGTACACAGGTAGTTTATGTAGAGGATGCGTGAGTGTGTGTGTTTGTGAATTACAGTAGTTAGAAGTATAGCAGGTTTCTTTCTCTCCCGTTCGTTCGACAACAATTAGGGAGGTTTCATTTTTTCTATCGTGACACACTGTGGAATTCATTTTCAAATTTTGATTCGAAAAAAACCGTTCAGGGGGATGAGAGAACTCGAGCCTGGCTCACTGTGACTTGTCTTTTGTCCGCGCCTCTGGAGAGGGCTGGTGTAGAAAAAGTGGCTGTGTCGCTGCTGCTTTTTGTTTTAATAATTTCACTTTGTAATTATTTTCTGCCTTAACTAAGCGATGCTTTAGTCCTCGCCCTCGAGGCCGCACCGGCCGAAGCCCCGGTTGAGGCCACTTTTCAAGTGCTCGGACGCGCCGACCCGGTGCTCGGACGAGCGAGGATTATTTTCTTAATATTTTTTTTTTCATCGGTCGATCTACCTTCAGTATATTTTAATATCAGAGTCACTCTCGAGTGGAACTTGAAGCTCAGTTTGCTTGGTATAAATTGCTACTGAATGAGTCCGGGAGGCCAAGGAGAGTTTTTTATTTTTATTAATGAGTGAGAATGCGTGAGTGAGTCCATCAGTTGGCAGGAGTCGTGAGGTCTGTGTTTGTTATACTTTTTTTTCTCTAGCGTGTGTAAAATGTTGAATGTGTCAGTGCAGTCTGCAGATTGTGGTTAAAAAGCAGCTCGGGACTTTTCAGCAATTTTTCCAATTTTTTGTTTGTTTCCGAAAAAGATTTTTATTCGTCAAAAGTGGCGAGCTGCTTTTTGCCACTTTGGAATCAACGAAAAACCAACGAACGAAAACTCCGACAAATTTTTTGGGGGGTCAAACCACGCACACAAAGTAACAAAAACAAAGAAATTATAACAACTACACACGTTCCTACAGGAAAATAAATTAAAAAACGCAAAACCAGTAGCTGCCGTAGGGGACGAAAATAAATTAAGTTTCCAGATGTGAAACACTGGATGTGTCAGATACTGATTTGGATTTTTACAATCGAAAAATGCAGCAAATTTTTCCAGTTCCGATCAATATGGTTATGAAATTGTTCAATAAACAAAGGAGATGATTCGCCCCTTCTTGTTTTTGGTGGTGTGAATATTTTCGACTTCGGTCAGGAAATACACAGTGAAGGATTTTTTATTTTTGCCACTAAGAGTTTTTATTTGATTTAGTTCATCATATTTGTTTTCTGGTAAGAGATTTACTTTTGCATAGCTTTTAATTATTAGAGTAAGTATAACTGCAAATGGGGGGAGAAAAGAGGACAACGGAAGGCCCTGTTTCTCGTATCACCAGGTTCTCCGATATTCGAATACTTTGTAACGAAAAGAGCTCCGAATGATAAAACGTCTGTTATATTATAACAATGAAAATAAGAAATGAATCAGCTGTCGTCATTTTCTTCTAAGTTCTGAAACTCTTCTCCGGATAAAACAAACGAGCAATTAATAACTATTCCATTCAATCAGGCAATAAATTAATTAATTTAATCACCACGCAACTTAGATTATTAATCCTTACAGTTTAGATACCGATCAGCTTCAGAAGGTTTAGTATACGTTTTATTGCACATCGGGGATTCGTCTAAAATAAATTATGCATGTGTCCGCTGCATTTACACAAAACGCTATGCAGAGTCGTCACTCATATACAGTAATCACAAGAATTTCATTCTGCTCTGTCTCTAAATCTCGTTTATAATTGTCTGTTTTCAAATTTCCTTGAAGCCGACGGTTCAAAAACGAACAACGTTTGATTGGTTATCGTAGATAGTTTATATAGTGGCTCTGGAAATGCGTCCTTCCATCATCCTCTCTCGAAACTAATGTATGCATGTGTATGTGTTTCACGTATGTTACGACAGGCGGCTTCCTAATTTTATATACTTTCTGCAGTTCGGCCGTGCCACCGCCGCCCCCGGCGCCGGGCTCGAAAGGCCAGCCTGCGGGGTCGAAGAAAATCGAAACGACAGAAGCCGCGGCCGCTCAGAGGGACGGCCGAGGTGGCCGCCGGATGTCGAAGGTGAGAGAAGGGAAGGAGTTCGTCGATCTACGGCTTGACAAATAATCAATCATATCTCGCTTGCAATGCACGTGTAAAGAGAGGCTCTTCGGAAACCGAGGGTTGGAGTTTTCAATTGTTTTCCCTCGCCAGTGATCATTTTCAGCTCAAATACATTTCGAAACAACAGCATCTGGCGAGGAAGGGAAATTAGCGCGACTCCAAGCCAGGGTTCAAACAAGGCCTGTAGAGTGAGTGAGTGAGTCCATTGTGTGTGTGTTTCTCTCTCTTTTAACTTTAAGAAGTAGTGTGTATGTGTAGCTTTATATTTTAGTGTGTGTGTGTCTGCTTCTTTTCTTGCCGTAGCGTATATATAATATATATAATCGTAGTAATAAATAGCAGTAATCCCCCTTGATTCATAATTTAACATGTACACCTTTACAGTATGTATGTATGATGTAAAAAGTCACTCACAGCACTTAAAAAAGACATTTTTAGCCTATCCGATTAAAAATTAGACGCTTCCCGAGGGCGGTCGAAGGTCGGTCGGTCAATCAGGGACATTCATTTTCCTTCTTCTTCTTCTTTGCGGATGAGGAGGTCTGTCGGTCGAAGGGGTGGGCGGGGGGCGCTTGCTTATCTTCCAGAACGGCACACTGAGCGTCCGCTCTTATTTTTTTTTTTCTCTCTCTCTCTCTCTCCGATTAACATTTTTTTTTACTAATTTCCACACACACACACAGATGCTGCGTGTCCGTGACGGGTGCACCTAGCCAGGGGGGCCAACATTAATGGCTGACCACTGGGCTCTGCTGCACGCACACCCCCATCATGGGACTGTCCTCGCGGTCCCCACTGGACGAGTCCTGCCGGACGGGCGCCACCGTCGGCGCGGCGCCGTCAGTCGGCGCCCCGAACGGCGGCTGCATCAGGTGCACGCCCGGGTGGTGCACCTTGAGGTGGAACGCGGCCGACTCGAGGTCCACGGGCAGCGACGAGGGCAGGTAGGCCTGCGGGGGCGGCCGCGCCGGCCCCCCGCCGCCGCCACCCCCGCCGCGGGAGGACACCACGTGGTGGACGTGGTGCGTCGGCTGCGTCTGCTGCACGCCCGGGTAGCAGTTGAGCCACGGCGAGTCGTAGTCCATGGCGGCGCCGCCGGCGCCGCCACTCGGCGCCTGCACCGACGCCGGCGGTCCGCCGGCGCCGAACGGTGCGTACCGCAGCGGCGACTTGCAACCGCCGAAGTCATTGACCACCGCCGCCGCCGCAGTCTGCGTCGCGTCGTGCACGAAACTCGAGGTGGCCGGGTGCGCCACGAAGTTGGCTGGGCCCATGCTGTGGTGGTTGTGGTTGGGCCGCTGCGCGCCGCTCCGCTGAATCTTATTGACCAGGCTCAGAGCTGAAACAGAAAAATCGTCAGTTTTGTCTCAAAGTTGGACCCAGAGTTGATTATATTTTGGTTGGAGACTTTTGTGAGAATATCAAACAAATGGAAAATCGGCCATGTTTGTTTTATAATCATATCAACAATTTTTTATTTGCTAGAAAAATTGTAATTTGGTCAAGTATGAAATTTTAAATTAAATGAAAAGTCCCCCTAGAGGCCAGATTTTAACTTTGTCATTTAAAATAAATGATTTTATCTTTTACAAAACCTTAAATTTTTATTAGATGGTAATAATTTATGAGTTTATTTTTAATAAATTTATTCTAATCATTTACCCTCCTTTTTTATATTAGTTCAATCTCAGGGTGATTTTAAATTTGTTTGATGTATCAAAATCGAGAAAAAAAGCATAAAACAAATCAATAATAAATCTGGTTGAAAATTCAGGCGGAGACCAGCCTGATTGCTGTAATCTGAACAAAGGTTAGACAGAAACCAGAAGCACATATGGTACTTTTAAATAACGGGAGCGACAAAACAGGAAGAACAAATGAAAACTCTCAACTCATCAAACTCAGGATGTTAAAAATTTAAAAAAAAATTGTCTCAATTTGGTTTCCGAATTAATAAATAAATCATAATCCGAAAATTTGGTGTGTCATTTCTGCAATGCAGTGCTCGGACTAAATACACTGGGTGTGTGTCGAATCACAACTACTCTGATTCCGATCTAATCAGAAGCGACTGCAGAGTTGTATAAAATAAATATATTCAGATTTACAAAGTTCCAGTGGGGGTGGGTGGGTGGGTGCCAATTAGTCTAATCGTCATCGCATGCACTTCCAGTACAATTTGGAATTTGAGGCCGGAGAGAGCGAAAGAAAAGAAATTTAATTACAAAAAAAAAATGAGTAACAAAATTTAGGGAGGAGAAACAAACAAACGGCGGCCGCTCGATGGAACAGCACAGTAATTAATGTACAGCGCGGAAGAATTAATTAAGTGACAGGGTGTGATTATTGCACTGCGACTACTTTAAGTATGTCTGCTCTAATTGTAAGAGTTGGTTTGTTTGCAACGAGAGACAGTCATCGGTTTGATCGATAGGGTAATGAGATAATCAAGAACACACATCCAAGTTGGATAATGTAAATGTAATGAGCGAGATGTATAGAGAGCTGGTAGCGAGATACAAATCAATGAATAAACTGGTCGAGCAGGTGTTGACAGGGGTTGATAACGAACGGGCAGCTATAGAGAGTCGGACGCATCACATGCATGGCTGGGGAGGCCACAATTATTGTACGAGACGCCACTGCCAAAAGGGACGCTCAAAACAATCATTTTCACATAAGAATTTTGAAATTGTTTAATGATTTGAATTGAAATTAGGAAAGAGCGTCACTTTGGGCAGCTGCAGCGCCTATCGAGTGAGTGGTTCGAGTCAATCAATTGAAAGGTCCTGTTGTTGACTTACTAGGAGGAGGGCACACCTGGGCTGGCCTCTGCCCGAGAGCCAGCAGTTAGCGTTAGTCATCGGGTCACAAACTGGGCGGGCAATACATCTGCTGCGAGAGGGGACAATTTGTTAGTCAGAACTCAGAGCAGGCCGCGCAGCCAAGTAGAGAGAGAGAAAGTTAATTGCCAGGTTAAAATGTTAAACGGAGCTAATGAATTTTGAGAGGAGATGAGTTGTCGTCAGAAATTATTGAGTGTGAATTGTACAGACACATGTTAATTGATTATGTACACTTCGAGAGTTCCGTCTTCAGGATTCGGACTCGCAGATGTTCAAAATCAAAATTCGTCCGAATCCTGAGCTCGAAGAGAACTCCTTTGTGTGAACGAAAGGCCTAAAAGTCCCTGTCCGGACGCGCATTCAGATTTTGAGGGGGCTCGGCAAAGCTCACCTTGGCCTCCGGACGAAGAGGGCTGCGGAAGGGGCGGCTCGAGTGCCGGACTGGCGCTGTGACTCGTGTTGGTCGACTCGTCGGCTGTGCGTTTGAAGAAACTGTGCTGCAGCGCGTAGAACGGCGTGACCCGCGTCTTGGGGTCGTAGTCGAGCATGCGCAGCACGAGTTCACGAAACTTAAGGTAATCACTGACTGAGTGTCCGGGCTCGCCGGCCCGTCGGCCGCCGGGACCTCCAGTTTCTACACCCACTATATCACTGAGACGTCTTGAGCCTGGTGCGCGATAACGCTTGCCGTCCTTGGGCTTCTTCAGCACATAAGAACCGTCGGGTAACTTGTCAAAGTATTTGCGCGCCTTGTGTGCTTGGTCGAGGATGTGCCTCGGTGGCATGCCTAGCACCTCTACTATTTTATTCATTTGGTCCACCTGAAATGCAAGGAAATTTCATTAAAATGCAACTCAAAACAACATAAATCACTTCTAAAAAGGCCACTGAAGTTTTTCAATCGAAAGAACCTTTTTAATTTTTAAGAATAATTGAAATGTTAAAATTGTTTCCAAATAATTTAGATAGCTTCAGTATAGAAATTATTAATTGTTTTAATTTAAATTTGATGATTAATTAGACATTTGAACTCACCTCATTAGCTCCACTAAACAGTGGTTCACCTGTATGCATCTCTACTAGAATGCAACCCAAACTCCACATATCTATCGCTAAGTCGTAAGGTATACCAAGAAGAACTTCTGGTGATCGGTAAAACCTGGACTGGATATACTGGTATATCTGCAATATTGTTCAAAATTATTAGCCTCGAAAATATTTGCCAGGGAAAATCACAAACCCTTTGACCAAGTTGACACGAGCTGCCGAAATCTACAATCTTGATTGCTGATCGCTTGGGGTTACAGAGAAGAATGTTTTCAGGCTTGAGGTCGCAATGGATGATGCTGAGCTTGGGGGTCGAGAGGAAGAGCAGCGCCGTGCACAACTGCTGCGCGAACTTGCGCGTCAGGTTGAGCGACACCCCTCGGAAGTTGGTGTTCCTCAAGAGGTCATACAGGTTGTACGAGAGGAGCTCAAACACTAGGCATAAATGATTCCGCCACATGAAGTGCCGCTTCAATTTCACTGCAAAAGGAACAAAATTGCAATTAAAATTCAAGCCCAAAAGCAAAATGGTGGTGCCGTTTTGTCCAACAATTCCTTTTTTCAACAATTGAACGTAAAAAATGTGGGAAAAAACCAGCAATAATTGAAATATTTTAATTTTAAATATACAACTATAAAATTTATATAAAAATATTATTGAATTTAATTAGATTTGAATGTTGTAAAAAAAGTTAATTTGTCTATAAATGAAAATTTAATAATTAAATTTATTTATAGAATGCTATAATATTTCAAAATTAAAGAAATAAATCAGAAAATTTAAAATCAAATAGTTCCATTTCTCAATTTGATTGAATTACAAACCTATGTAAAATTTGTTGTCGGCGTCAGCGTCATTCATCATTTCTAACAATTTAACTTCTATCTGTGCTTGATTCAAGAAGGGCTTCTTGTTCTTGATGATTTTGATCGCCACGTGGCACTGCTCGTCATGGTCGAAGGCCTTCACGACCTGGAAACATCACATTTTTATTAATACTACGTCTTTTTTATAAATTTTTGTTCCAATTTCTTACCTGACCAAAGGAGCCCTTGCCGATGAGCGAGTCGATCTCGTATCTGTCGAGGAACTTTTCGCCCGTCTTGATAATGTAGTCGTGGTTGTCGTCGTCGTAGCCATCATTGTACAACTTTCGTTCCTTCTTGTGAGACGAGTCCTCGCCCTGCGTCTGCTGCGCCCGTCTTTTCTTCTTTGCGTAGTACACCTGCAAAAACAACAACACTCGTGTGAGCAAACTTTCTTTCTTTGCAAGCATCGGAAAGAAATTAGGTTTGCGAACGGAAAGGGAAAAAAATTGAGAAATGAGGAGGAAGAAACAAGCGGTGCCGCTCGTTGTCTTTTATGTCTTGCTGTGCGTCGACAAGTTTTTTCCTTCGAGGAAAAAACTAAACTTGGGAAACTTTGCAACGCAATTAGAGCTGGAATTTTTCTATTAAAGTTAGAACACTTTTTTGCTTTAAATACAAGTACGTGAGTTGTTTACTTGAATATTTCGAACGCAAATCTTTTGATTTCTAACGAAATAATCACAGGAATTATATTTCAAATGGTCACTGGAAAAAGTAATTTAAATTTGACCACAAGCATCACAACAGTTAGAGCAAATTTTGATTTTACTTTTTTTATTGTTGCTCAAACAACAATCAAAGCAATGTTTCATTGTTGTGATGCGCAACCCTTTTCCGGTCTGTCACTGTTGATAAGCCGATTTTTTGAGCTCATTGTTCAGTGCACTGGCTAGCCCAGTGGGTGAGATCACGCACGGTAGGACTCACAGGCTGTAAGGTACCTACAGACCTGTGAGCCGACCAAGACGGGTTCAAAACCCCACTGGGCTGGTGTTTTTCACAACTTTTTTTAGGTCAAATTGAATTCCAAATCACATTTACTTGTTAAAAATCTTATTGAATTAAAAAAAAATTAAATTGAAAAAAGAATTACAAAATTGAATATTTTCGGGGCAGGCTTTTTGAGTACGCGTTCTTCAAGGGCTCATTATTAATTGCTATTTAATTATTATTATTGTTTTAATAAAAATGTGTTTTCTGCGCACAACCAGGAGTTAAAATTATGTAAAGCGATTTGCTGAAATCAGTAAATTTAGGACGAAAATTTTAAATAAAGAAAGCGAAAGAAAGAAATTTGTTCAATATCTTTCAATAATTGAATGCTGTTAATGTAGACAAATTAACAACAACAATAACAAATAATTTGATTTTTTATAAAAAAACCAGGAATTAAAATTGAGTGGCAAATGAAAAAGCTAAAATAAGAATTCCAAATTTTAACAAACATATTTTTGTAAGGCTACATTTTTTTCATCATTAATGCGCCATTTGCGTGACGGTAAAAATGACATTTTTGAACAGAAAAATTTATAAAATCTATCTCTGAAATGAGCAAATCTAGATGCAGCAAGAAATGAAATAAGAAATACCAGGAAAGATGAGGACTAGAATTTCTAGAAATTCAAAATCACTAGAGTAAACAAATTAATGTGAAATTTTTCTTTTGATCCTTTGTTTGAATTAAAATATTTAGAAAAAAAATCGTCTAGTAAAATTTTAGAAGCGGCGGATAAGGCATTTTTGATCTCATAAGTTTTAGCAAAATTCTTGCTAGTGGTGGTGCCGTTTTGTCCAACAATTCATTTTTTTTCTCTCTCAAATAAACTATTGTTCTCAACATTTGTATGTAAACAATGTGATGTAACAATTTGGACAAATAAACGGCAATAATAATAATAATTCATATTGCTGAGATATTATTTCAAAATTTCTAAAACTCAAAATTATAGAATTTACGGGGGTGCTTCCTTTTGTACCAAATTAATAATTTAAATTTGAATTTTCCACCCTTTGCCTTTTTGATTGTAGATCATAATGGAAAAGTTATGTAAAAATTGCAACTGAAAATTGAAATTTTCTAAACTCTGATAATTTAATGTTTTTAAACTTGTCCAAGATTCATTTAATTAGAAGAGATTCTGCAACGATTCATTTTATTTGCATCAATTTAATTGGAAATATTGAATCGGCTCCAGCAGGTGTCAGCCACTTTAGTGCGTGCGGACATTTTCCTCGTTTCTAGGTCTCTTTCCGCGCGCAAAGCAACAATGCGGCTCGCACGAGCGAAACTCGATTTGACGGCGGCGTTTTTGGCAGCACGACTTGTTCTTCTCTGGCTCGGCGGCCGGCGCTCGCTGCATTCACACAAAAGTTTGATCTGCGGTTTGCGTCGCAGCGCGGCTCGGGCAATATTTGCCGAGCCAAGTTTGCCGTGCTGTCACTCAGCGGCTCAATAAATCCATCGGCCAAAAATTCGCCCCCTCGAGTCGGTGCGGCGGAGGCGGAGGCGGGCGGGCCGGGCTCGTTTTGCGAACAAAGGCTGTTTGCCGGTCGAAAGTTGCGTGATTCGTTCCGTGTTGATTTATTCTGGCGGCGTGGCGAGCAACAAAAGCAGGCAGGCATCCCGCTCGGCAGCATCATCATCTTTCTGCCGGCAGTTTTGCAGTAGGCCTTGCTTTAAAGGGTTGAGCGAGAATTCGAGTTTCGCTTGCGTGCCGATCGATAATGTATGCCGCCGTCAGCCAGCTTTCCGAGTTGCCGTGGACCGTCGCTAGAGACCAGCACGGCGCCGCCTAAAGAGCACGCGTAACCCTCGCAAAATTTCAACTTAATTGTCAAAATCTCCATTTCAACCGAGCGATTAACTTTGTAATCAAAAAGAAGTTCCAAAATTGAATTTATTTCAATAATAGAAATAAAATTAATTATAATTCGGTGAAAAAAGATATAATTAGGGATTTTAGTGTTGGTGACCTTTGACATATGAAAGGTCCACCCCCGCCCGAGTCTTTTTTTCTTTCTATCTTTGTCTATTTTTCTTTCCATCGCCCCGTCGCTGCACGTCTGCCGAGCGGGGAAAAAGAGGCCGATTCGCCAACTCTCGGCAAAAACATCCCCTTTAAAGGCACACAGAGCGCGCCCGCGGCCAAGCTCGCAGACTTGGTGGGCCGACTGAAAAATGGAGGCTGCACTGCACCGTCGCTGCTGCGAAACGTGATTCGCGACGCGGAAATGGCACGGCGTTTCCCTCACGACGGGCTGATTTTGTCGGCAAATATCTCGCGATGTGGAAATGTCTGCGCCAATCTTCAAGAAACCTACCGAAATAATTTCGATTTAAATGTTAGATGGCTGAAAGTTTTCAAAACCAATGCAGAAAAAAGCAAATCATAAAATCATTCTGAATTTTTTTCAACAGGAATCTTTTAATATTTAGTAAGATTTTTCGTCGAGACACTTGAGAACCAATTGATTTTAATTTGATGGACGACAATATTATGAAATTTGTATTGTTTTAATTAGGCAGAATCTGATTGAAATGAAATTCAGTTTTTATAATTTGTTAATTTTCTGTCTCAATGGAAATGACGTTAAAAAACCATTTCTAGCGTAAAAAAAATTCAATATTAACCAGGTCATTTTTTTTAATTTTTGTTGCAACAATTAAACACCATTTTTAAAAAATTATGTATTTTATTTCAAAAATTTTTAACTGACCAGTTTGAGAGCAAACTGATATAATGGTGGCCAAAATGATTTGTAACAAAAAAAACCAAAGGTTTAAATCATTATATTTGAGCGCAGCAATAAAATATAAATCAAAATTCCGCCCACATTTACTTTGCAGAGGTTAACCTTTCAGTTGGCTGTATTTACTTTTGACATTTGAATGAAAATCACTGACCTTTACAATTTTAATTAGCAAGAAATCCTCTAGCGGTAAAATTGATCACCCCTCGAATTTCACAATCTTTTTAGAAAAACAAAAATTTGACCTTTTGCAACATAATTTAGTCAATTTTTGAATACAGAAGCGCCCTTTTGAATACATTTAACCTTTGTCTTTTGCTGCAAAAACGAATGATTCCGACATTTCCTCATTTCTCCCCCGCGAGCAAAAAGTCTTCCTTGAAAGGCGCGACTCGCGGAAATACCGCGTGATTCACTGGACCGCAATTCGCAGTGCAGCAATTGAAGCGGCGAGGGCGGCATCGGCACAGCTCCAGCAATAATTCTCGCTCCGGTTTTATTTATAGCCGCGCTCGTAACTATACTTTTGACAAAATACTAAGTTTCGCGCGAGTCAAGGTGTTTTAATTTGATTCCGAGCCCACGACGTGAGAGCGGTTTATTTCGGCCGCTGCCGCTATTCATAGCCGCAGACAGTCTGTTTCGCTGCCACCGCGCTGACCTTTTCATCAATAACTACCACCGGCCCTCTCGCCGCCGCCGCCGCCGTCTTCAATCGCCTCGCTTTAATGGACCCTATTTACCGCACGTACTGCCAAACTTCGCTCTCGAACCCCGACGCACACGCTTTGTTGCGGAAAAAGCGAGAAACCCACATGCAAGCACAAAGAATGGTTTTAACTTTCAACCCTAGCACCACTTGAATCCCTCATCAAAACAAAAACACTTAAACAAAATAAAAGGTTAATTATCGGTTTTTTTCGGTTCTCATCAGTTTTAAATCCAAGGAACCACCAGTTTTAGTTCCAAGGTTGCCACGATTGTTTTCTTTCTTAAACAACAAACCGAACACTGTCTTTTCTAAAATATTCATTAATTTCCAGCAAAATCAATTTGTGGATTTCGAAACTGACCGAGAAAAGCAGTTCTCAGGGGGGGAAAATCCAATTTCTAAATTAGAAAATATTAATTTTCTTACAAGTCTATACAGATAAGATTAAATTCTTTTCATTTTGTACCTCAGGTTCTGAATCCACATTAAATTAAAACAGATAATAACAATGGAAAATGAAATACAATGCAAACACTCTAAAAAAATAAAAAATATTAAAAAAAAACTCAAAACAACAATTAACAACTGGTTTGGCGATCCATTTAAGAATTTGCTGATAAATTTAATTAACCAAACTCAAAATTTAAATCTTAGCTGACAGTGAAATTAATTCATTGTAAAATTTTTGTAAAAAGTTTGTACAAAAAATAATTTTGAATAATTTCAAAATTAAATAATAACAATCCTTCTTTCTTCGCACAAAATTATTTTTAATTATGTTGAAAAAAAGATATAACATTTTAGATCTTGCTTTGATTTGCCGATATTTGATCTGCAATTGCCACTGGAAACGTGCATGTAATTTAATCAGCGAATCGAAACGAGAATCAGCTG